ATGTATTTATTTGCTTAACATTTCAATAAATCAAAAGTGTTTATTTAATAGATCAAACAAAAAATATATTATAATATTAAGTCCCGAGTAGACGAGGTAAAGATGCTAGATGATGGTAAGTTTCCGTCTAATTCATATCTTAAAATAGTCTTTATTTATGTGACTAATTTAAGTTTAAATACTACCGAAACAATAATTTTTATTACTCATGATGAGATAAAATCCTTATAATATTTTAGCTAAGAAAGTTGTAATTTATTCACAGAACCTCTGATTAGATTAGTTACAAGCTATACGAATAATAAAAATTATTTTTATACTATATTATATTCCCTTATCAATTATTCGCTAACTAGCCACGACTTCTGCTTAAGATATTATAATAGAGTTTTTACATTTAAGTGAAAAGTTTTATGAAATAGTTGGTCAATTTATTCAGCAAAGTAAGTATTTACCATCGTAGTCGTGCTAAAAATAATTTATAAAACACATAAAGAAAAACAAATATTCTATTAGTTATAATAGAGAATAAGAACGTTAGTTATATCCAATAAACAATTTTATCAAAATTAAATGATTTTATATTCTACTAACAAAAAAGTATATTTAATATTGTATCTAMAACCGCAGGCTAATGACCTAGCTGTTGAAGCCTTATTCTCAATAATAATAAAAATAAATAAAGTATATAGATGATAATTGTTTTACATTTCTTGGTTATCAAATAAAACAACTGTATAATTATATAACTTGTAAAATAATAAAATAGTATAATAAAATGCATAACACCGATTGAATATTTCCGACATTTCATTTCCTCTTGTTGATATTTAAAATATATTATAACCCATAATTCATAAGACTTTAATCATATTCTATGTTTTTAATCCTTTCCAATGATTTCATTTATGGTTTTACAGTATTATATAAGGCACATATTACCATAGTAATGTAATCTAAATAGTATACAACTAAAAATTATAACCTAAACTAGCTTCAGAGATAAGTTATTTTTGTATTTATATTGCCACAAATATATATATTTCTTCAAATTACATTTCGCTTAGTATGATTTTTTTTTTTTATGAATTAAGACAAAATTTTAACATATTATGTGAATTGATACTATTGCTACAATTCGTAAGTTCTGTAAATGTAGGATTGCAATTTTCAACAATAATACCTGTAATAAATAATTATAAATGTATCGATTACATTTTTCATTTTATATCTTGTACCTACCAATTATTCGTCAAACAATTGTAATTAATTAAAATTAATTACATTATAATACAGTACTTAAATAATATTAGTTTATTTGTATAGACATAATAATATTAATATTATTATACACATGTTCGATACCATTGAATTACACCCATAATTTATATTGAACATATATTTACTTGGGAATACGATATGTTATAATATTTCATCAATATTCATAATATTGTTATATTGAGGTGTAATGATACAACTTAGCGAGAAAAATACACACGTTAAAATATTTTGGAGGTTACCGAAATTATGATCTCTTAATGCACAACGATATTATTTTATGATTATATTCACGTGTGTTAACCTTCGGATTATACAATTATTTTGGTATACTGTTTYGTTTCCTCGGAGACGGCTCACGGTACGACGTTACCCTCGATTCGCCTCGAGGAGAGTATACGGGAGGAAAAATAAGAAAGAAAAAAAAAAAAGGATAAAAACCTAACTGCGGCACAATGGCGGCAGTTTTACAGTGGTCGTAGTGTGTTCCTCCAAAACGATTGTGTGCAAATGGTCCGCCGCCGCAAAAACGCGGAGCACGTGTGAAAAGTGAAACCGGTACCTATACTGCAGCGCTGATGCACATAACATATAAACCGAATTCAGTAGATTTGCATCGGTCACAGCAGCCGAACACGATGCATCAATTCATCATCGTCGCAGACAAATAGGTCGCGCGCACGGCGTAAATATCAGCAGCCCGATCGCCCTATAACCGTTTCGGGTACCTATATAAGTATATGTTTTTGAAAACCGTTCCGACAAATTTCGTATATATATATATATATGTACCTGCAGTGTATAGATGCTTGTATATAGTGTTATATAGATATTGCAAAATCTTTTGGCGACTCAAACATTGATTCAAATTTCATCGACGTGTGGCAAAAAAAAAAACCCCGGACGGTTAACCTGATTCTGGCATAAGCAATTTTTCTGCGACATGTCACTATAGTTATTGCGCCATTGCGGTGGTAGTGGGGTAGGCGAAATCAAACAGGTATAATCAAATATTGTTTTGTCATTCCTGACAAACAGTCCATATACTATAGACTCTACCACATTATAGTCTAATAAAGTAATAATAATATAATATAAATCGGCCATAGATATATTATAAATTATGAAGGATGATTTATCAACCTCACCCCTCCCCGCTCTAATCGTATGTTTTTGCAGAGTTATTTGACTTTGTAAACCACTTACAATGTTATAGGACCGTGATAACAAATTTGGAAGATTGTGGGAAGGAGAATATGGTGATTTGAAAATTGTAGTGAATAATCAGGGCATCAGCATTAATTGATCAATTAAATTGTAAAAATGATCCAAGTTACATGCTAAATATAATACCTATTAGGCCTCTATTTAATATTTTTGTAACATCTTTAAGAATTATATGAYGCAGCTATTGCCGCTATTGGAACAAACATTTTAATAACTGAAAAAATCACTCATTCGAATTTTGAATTATAA